ATTTGTTATCCATACTTGTAAATTCCTGTTGTACAGGTACTTGTAAAAACCTGTTGTTTTTTAAAATTGCCGCCACAAAATTCACAGGATGATGTAAGTCTGACACAAGTTAGCAAACTATCTCTGTGCCTGTAACAAGCTGATAAATTATCACAGTCCTGAAACTCTCTTATGCCCCTCTAACTCCATATAAACCCCTTGTTTTGCAAGCTCGGGGCTGCCTCCTCTAATTATTATGGGTTAGCCCAGCAGGTTAATAAAACTTGCTTCCCTGACTTTGGGTCTACTTTCCTTTCTCTCTGCTAACCTTACAGGCTTGAGTATGGAGAAATTGTACTGGTTTACAAAATTAGGGACAAAGAAAATGTAGTGTTCAGTTCTCCAGTGGATCCTGGCTTTTAAAAATTGCTATAACTAACTGGGAAACAATTAAGAAAATGTAAATCGTAGGGTGTGAGTATGCAAACCTGGATGGTATATATATTTTTGAGACAGAATCTCACTGTGTCACCCAGGCTGGAGTGCAGTGGTGCAGTCTCAGCTCACTGTAACCTCAGCTTTCCGGATCTAAGCAATTCTTGTGCCTCAGCCTCCTAAGTAGCTGGGATTACAGGCACCTGCCATACGCCCAGCTAATTGTTTCTTTTAGAAACAGAGTTTCACTCTTGTCACCCAGGCTGAAGTGCAATGGCACGGTCTTGGCTCACTGCAACCTCTGCCTCCTGGGTTCAAGCAATTGTCCTGCCTCAGCCTCCCAAGTAGCTGGAATTACAGGCACCTGCCATCGTGCCAGGCTAATTTTTGTATTTTCAGTAGAGACAGGGTTTTACCATCTTGGTCAGGCTGGTCTCAAACTCCTGACCTCAAATGATCCACCCACCTCGGCCTCTCAAAGTGCTGAGATTACAGGCATGAACCACCGAACTTGGCCCTATATATTTTAACTTATGTATTTTTATAAGGAAAATCAACTGTTCCAGCACCACTACTGAGTATCAATTGTTTCCCCTACTTGAGCTGCAGTGCCAATATCAATGGCCATGTCCCACTTATCAAATTTCTTTATGTGCTCCATTTTAATCTTATGGGACCACCACAGTGTAGATGGTTGACCAGTTGACTGAAATCTGTTACCTGGGACATGACTGTGTTTATATTTAAAAATATTTGGGAGTTGAGTAATTTTAAGGAATTACTGATAACTTGATGTGAAAGGATAAGCGAACTGGTTATGCAAGAGAATGGCCTTAGTTTTTGAATATGCGTTCTTAAGTATAAAGAGGCAAATTAGCATGATGCCTATAATTTCCTTTTAATTCGAATTGAAAAATTACATAAAGAAAACCTGGCAAAGTATTAACAATTTATTGGATTTAGGTGGTGGTTATGTGGGTGCCCATTTTTTTCTACCTTTCTGTAGGCTCCAATGTTTCATAATTAAAAGGGAAAAAATGAGGTCACGAGAGAAGGTACAATTAAACATTAATGGGTTCCCTCTCCCTGGCAGTTAGTGCTGAGAGTGTGGAGTGTGTTCTCCAGGATCAGCACACGTTTATTCTCTTGAAAAATCCATTCCCCCGAAAAAAATCCCATGAAAAAACCTTTTTTAAAAAAGGTTTCTCTTAACATTCGCCACCCATGCAAAACACTTGACAAAAAAATCCTTGTCTCCACTGCCAGAGGCTTTTTCCTTTTCCTCTTGTGTAAGTTAACCCAGTGAAGCAGCCGAGAGCAACCCACCTGCCCCCTCGAGGCTCTGAAGCAACTTTAAGAAGGAACAGGACCGAGGCCTGGACCCTGGACCCTACACCGCCACCCTCGTCCCAGCCGGCTGTGGGCCGCAGTTCCTCGGCCGTGGTGTAGTTCTGAATTCCAGGTGATTTTGCGTCTCTGCGCTGGCTCAGGCTTCCGCCCCAGACCTCGCTCCCCTTTCACGGAAAGGTCGCAGCCTGTTGCCCTACCCGCAGACAGGTGCCGAGGTGAGCCCAGTGCCCCAGCCATCAGCTGGCCTGTACCGCACGTGACCAGGCCTGCTGGCCAGTCCTCTTCATCCCGGGCTACAGGAATCAGATCACCGGCGCTCCTTGGGAAACGGAGGATGTGGAATGTGCTTAAGAACCCATGAATTTTGATGTTATAAAAGACAATACATACTAAGTGGTCTCAGCGTGATCCATCGCCGCCAAAAATGGGAGTGGGCAACATATTTATCAAAAATTTGGACAAATCTGTTGATTATAAAACATTGCATGATACATCTTCTGCTTTTGGTGGCATCCTATTGTATAAAAAACCACGTTCTTGTCACAGGACCAGGAAAAGGCATGCAGACACTTTGAAGAGTGAGGGGGAACGGAATTTATTGGGTGGAAAGGCAAAAGGGAAAATAACAGCAAAGTGAGAGAGTCCTGCTAGCGGGTTTCCTGCATCACAGATTGAATCCCAGGTCACCACATAGAAACAGAAGAGGCCAGGCTCCTCCCCACTGCAAACGGCACAAACTTCCCGAGGCTTCACCCGGTACTCCCACTGTGTAGGTGGGCATTGTTCAGAATCAGTGGGAAAAGGACGGCTTCACCCAGGATGTGCAATCCAGTCTACCAGCCTTCAGGTGCTTTCACATCAGGTGCTTTGGGGTGGAAATGGTTTCAAGGGTGATGGAACTGTACATTTTGAAACATAGAAGCAGCTGAACGATCTATTAAAAAAATGAATGCTTCTAAATGATAGCAAAGTCCTTGTTGGATTATTTAAGTCTTATAAATAATGAGAAGCAAAACTCAAGAGTTAATAAGTTCACCAATGTTTACAGGAAGATTTTATAAGACATGGATGGTGAGTGCCTTAAAGATCTCTTTGGCGGCCGGGCGCGGTGGCTCACGCCTGTAACCCCAGCACTTTGTGAGGCCAAGGCTGGCCGATCACCTGAAGTTGGGAGTTCGAGACCAGCCGGACCAACATGGAGAAACCCCGTCTCTACTAAAAATACAAAATTAGCCGGGCGTAGTGCCACATGCCTGTAATCCCAGCTACTCGGGAGGCTGAGGCAGAAGAATCGTTTGAACCCGGGAGGCGGAGGTTGTGGTGAGCTGAAATCATGCCATTGCACTCCAGCCTGGGCAATAAGAGCAAAACTCCGTCTCAAGGAACAAAAAATATGTGTGTGTGTGTGTGTGTGTGTGTGTGTGTGTGTGTGTGTATATATATATATATATATTTTTTTTTTTT